TAAAGAGAGTCATTTTATATATAAATTTTTCTGACTTTAATTTGTTAAACGTAATACGAATTTTTAATTACTAAATTCGGTATAGTAAGGGTTTTTTTATATTTAAAAATCTGTCTAATACTGAAAATCTGTTGTATTGTAAAATTCGTTATATCAAAATTCATTGTAAGAAGAGTTGACTGTATTAAGGTAAAATAATTTATTACAATAACAAATTTCTGGTTATACAAATAATGATAAAAGTATTTAATTGTTCATACAACAGAAAGATATTCTAACTTTATAATGGTATAGTTTTACTTATATTTATTAAGAATTATATTAGCATATGCAATAATTCATTCTAAGTTATCATTTCTTTTTTGTATTAAAATTGTATTTAAAGTGAATGTTAAAGCATCATTAATAGGATAAAGAATTTTTTAAAATTAGAATATGATAAGATTGATGGTATTATTAAGCATAACTTAAGTTTTTCAAATGTTTATTGTTAATTATTTATTTATTAATAGGAAATATTTTTCTTTAATAACTAATACAAGGATTTAGCAAGGGTTGAGAATCCTTTAATAAATTTTTGATAATATGACATCAAATCAATAAAGTCTCTTAAATATTTTAGTTTCTTAGGTTAGAGAAATTCTTTTATTACTCTCAATTTTTTAGGATCTGTCTAAATATTTTCTTTACTTATAACATGCTTAAGAAAAAACATTTTTCAGAGCTTAGTTCAATTCTGCATCTTTTAACCATAGAAAAACTTATTCTAAATGTAAAAGATATTCTTCAAAAATCTTTAAGCTGATATTAATATCATCTATATATATAATTATATATTATTGTAATATTTTTCTTAAGACTGTATTCATTAGATATTAAAAAGTAGTAGATGCATTACATAATCTAAATGGCATAACAGTAAATTTGTAGATGCCAAATCTTATTATAAATGTTATTTTTCCTATCTTTAAGATCTAATTCAACCTGTTAAAATTAAAGATGATTATCACGTTATATTTTTACAAAATGCATTTTGTCGATCCTATATGTAAAATTAATTTGTGTGTAATATTAGATTTTCTGAATTTTACTGCGCATTAGTATTGCTGGCAATTATATGATTTCGTTAAAATTTCACAAATAAATATATTTTAAATTTTAAAATATATTAATTTTAGAAAATTGAATTATAAAAACTTGAATAAAATTTATTAATTTATTATAAACTATATTAAAAATAATTTATTTGTATTATAATTTTATTTAAAAATAATAAAAAAATATTTTCAAATTATTAATAGGAAAATTAATTTAATATATATAGTGCGCGACGAAAGTATTCGTAATTACATTTTTATTTATTGTACTTCGAAAACAACTCAAAAATACTTGAAAATTTAAAATTATATATTTTATTATATAATGAAAAAAAATATTAAGCTAAGTCAATAGCTTAGCTTATTACCATCCTCCTCAATTATTTGTTCTGATCATTTTGGCATGCTACGAACCAAATTAAAAAGAATTTTGATTCGATTCCCTCCCACACTTTTTTATAAAAACATCTATAGTAATTTGATTTTTATAAATTACAAGATTGTTGACCTTTTTTTTCACATGTACCTTCCAAAATTGACCACAAATTCTCATTCAGATTTAAACCTGAGCTAATTCAACAACCTTAGACATCGGTTAGAAAGAAGTTTTTTAGTTTTCTTGGATGTGTGTTTAGGGTCATTGTCCTGTTGAAAGACCCTATTACATAATATCTAAAAATAGCTAATACAATGATGTCACGTGAAAAGGTTATTTAATAGATTACATATTGTAGGAGAAAATCATGATTTTTTACATCGAATTTTAATTCCAGAACCTTTCGTTATACACTGTAAATTATAACAATAGCCTTAAATTTAAGGGACATGCATTGTGATCGATAAGACTGTTGAAAATTTAAATGAAATATTATATAATATAAATCTTTATGATGATGAAAACTTGGAAGAAGAATTTATTAATGAAGAACAACAAAATATTTTTCCAATTCCTGAGGAAGAAATACTTAATATTGAAGAATTATTAAATCTTCATGCTGATGATTTTACAAAATATTTAGGAGATATAATTGTTGATACTTTTGATATTACTGATAGTGATGATAATGAGAAAACTAACATTCAAGATAATAATGGTGTTGAAGAAGATTGGGACCCTGAAAGTGAAGCTGATTTGATTTTAAATAAAAATTAAAATATTAGTTTTTATTTTCTTAATTTTGTAATTTCTTTGAAAATATAAAATAATTACTTTAGTTAATGATTAATAATAGCATTAGATTTATTTTGATTTTTGAATGGAATGAATAATAATAAAAAATTAATGTTACGATAAATAATATTCATTAATGTGGTATCGGTATATCTAAAAAAGGTGAAGATTCAATTTCTAATTTTGGTGGTTATTTTTTGATGATCAGCTATTAACTAATTATATTTGATTTCACGAAGATGTATCATATTAATAAATAATAAATTATATGCTAATTGTATATTATGATTAAATAGCATATTAATTAGCCTAATTTATCAATATAGCAACTTTAATTAATTTATTAATTATTAGCAAAGATTAGTTTTAAATAGTATTAAATATTTAAATCAGCATTTAGTTTGATTGGCTAACTAGTTTCAGAAGGTTTCGCTAGTATCGTCCAATATCGTCTAGTTTCGCCAATTTCGTCTTAGTTTGAATTATCGGAAAGTTTCAGATTTTAGTTCTTAAAAGCCGAAACGTTTCGACCTTGAGATTTTGGTTTCGCCCACACCTTTAGGATGTAATATCACTGATTTATAAAGCTATAAAAAATTCAAAATTAGAATTAATTTTGAAAAAAATCACCACCATATAAAAAAGTGTTAAAAATTTAAAAACTTACATGATCTTTTATTTTTAATTGTTTTTCGTTACTTCTTGACAAAGAAAAAAATTTCATCACTTATTTCAAGTGTTGTTGCTGCGAAAAACTGTCATATGTGTATTATTCGGTCTGTTTTATTTGGGAAACAATTTTTTTTCCCATCGTCCTCTCCTAATATATTAATACAACATTTACAATATGTACGTTTTAAGATTACTCTGATTGAGTCTTCTTTACTTTTAATAATATAATCATTTAATAAATCTGATAGTGTTGGCATCGAGAAGTTTATATTGAAATTTAATCAAAACGATTTTTTTAAAAAAAAAGAATCGCATAATCGCAAAAAAAAAATATCTTTTTCATTTTCAGTCACGTGCGTGCGTGGACAATCGGACGCTCGATTTTCGGGTGGGACATGTCCGACGGACAACTTATTTATTGGAACATAGTGGGACACGGACCGCTGGATAATGTTTCAGTCCGATCATTCAAGTCGGACGTTGTCCGACCACATCACTGCTGCAAGCCGTAGCAATTTTTTTGAGATTTTTTATTTTATCCTCTAGATCCACATACGGTTGGTATATTTTATTATTCGTTTTTACTGTAGTGTTCATTCGATTATCCGTACCAACTAATATTAGTTAAAATGATCAACAAATTGCATGCGTGCGGCAAAAAAATGATCTACATACATACATACATATAACAATAAGCTTGGGAAATTACTCAAATAAAAAACTTTTTCTTGAAATTTACAGCAATATCAGAAAGAAACAATAAAAGCAAAAAGGTAATCAATAGTCTTGAAGATAAAAATATATATACCCAAACAAAAAAAAGGAAGAAAAACGAACAAACCGAAATTGGTAAGAATGAAGTTTAATACACCTAAAAAAAAAAAAAATTTAAAAAAAATGTTATAAGATGAAATAGAAGGTAATTATTCTTCTACATCATTCAAATAATACAATTATACTCAATTGCTGTTTCTGAAATTTTGAAACAGCACCAATTTCGAGCGACGAAGGTAATTATTATAAAACTATAATTCTTTAAGATACACAATATTTATTCATTTAAATTTTAATAAACTTGTTAGAAATACTCAAGCCAACATTCCCACCTACTTTGACAATAGACGAAATCATGCCAAAATACGTTAATAATAAAAGTAATAAAAGTATAATATTTCCAAATGCTTTTATAATTTACAGAATGGCATTATTAAAAGAATATCGTAAAGAAAACATCAAACCACCTTCAATGGGTCAGTTATCAAAATCGCAAAAAATTCTTGGGATAATGAACCAGAAGAAGTAAAACATTTTTACTTTAGACTAGCTGAGGACGTTAAATCTAATGTTAAGAAAAACAAACTTCAAATCACCTTTGATAAAAATATGAATGAAGTTGGAGAAAGCGGGCAAGTTTTGCATTCGAAGGATTTAAGTTTTGGAGCTGATTATGCCAATCATAACCAAATTAAAGATAATGAGGCACAATATTCATTAAGTGGATTTCTTACGATTGAGGATTCTACTGTCGATGCTATGGATCCTTCTGATAATGGTTCGGTTATCAATTCACAAGTTGAAACTTATTCCCATCATAATTTTTTAGATCCTAATGATCAAGAGTATAAATCTTTAGAGGGATTAGAAGGTAAATAATATTTATTAATATTTAGTTACGATATTGTGATAATTTCAAAAATTTTTTAATATGATGCCTCTGACTCTCATACCTTACTGTGTCAAATTATTGATGATTAATTTTTTTTTTTTTTTTTTTTACTGTATTTTAATGTGTAATTTAAATTAAACTATACTTTTTTAATCAAAAACATTTTTTAATGTATAGGGAGTAAGTTATTTTTTCAATATTCTATTATAATTTTTTACTGTAATTTAAATATCACACTCAATACTATTAAAATATCTATTCAAAACTAATCTAAATGTAATCTATATAAAAAAATTAGGAGAATTGATTAAAAATCAGAATATAAACCATATCTTTGATGATAGTAATCCTTTTAACTCTATTCAGCTTAATGAACCTATCATTAATATTTGGAGCGATAATGGACTAAATTTTTGTTGTAATTCAAATTTTAGAGATGATTCAGAATTTATTTCAATAAAATCAACAATTTCTTCTAGAATTTCTGCTACTTCATATATCGAAATTGAGAAGTTGCAGAAATTACTTATTAGTCGAAAAGATGATATCAATGATTTATTAAAATCGCAGCCTGTTTATGCTATAGGAATTGACTTTCATAATGATTCTATCAGTCCATGTATTTCTTGCTGGGTTTCTAAACCGTTAGACATTTTAATACTGGAATGTCTTGAAGCCATGTTTGAGAATCAATTTGAAGCTATATACCAAATATCAATTTCTGATAAAATTGATATTAATCAAAATTTAAGTGAATTATCTAGTAGCAGCGATCACATTACTAAAAAATTTTGTGATAATAATTCAACTTGACATTCTCTTTCAAATAATAAAGAAAATTTGAAGAAAGAACAAGAATCAGTCAAGGATGAAGAGAAAGATAAAAGCAGTAATAATAATGGAAGCGATAATGATAACAGAAGTGATAATGATAGTAATAATGGTAATAGAGGAGGCGATAGTAATGGAAGTAAAGATAATGATAGTGGCAATAGTAATAATGATAATAGTGGTGGTGGTAGTAGTAGTGGTGGTGGTAGTGGAGGTAGTGGTGGTGGTGATAGTGGAGGTAATGGAGGTGGTGATGGTGGTAATGGTGGCAGTGTTAATGAAAAAGATGAAAATTGTATTACTATTTCTTCTGTTGCAATTGTCAATACTGTAGATCCAGAGATTTTTCAAAAATTTACTTTTGCTACTCATCTTCATGCTAAATTTTCACCACCGAATCTGGAGTATGAAATCGATATATTCTTGTAAAACAGGGAAAATGCTTAGTTATAATTTACCATTTTATAAAAGGCGTGGACATGGATATTTTCTTGATTCTGTTGAAGTTGGCATTTCTCCAATTTCATGCATACCTAATGATAAGAATAATTTGTTTATATCTTTAAATGCTCCATATCCACAGTAGTTAAATCGATCTGTTAAAATTTCAAATGGTCGTGAAACAAACTTTGAAGGACAAATTGGAACAGCACCAAATATTTCAGCAAAAGGTGGTATAAAAAGTGTTACAAATACCAAATTCACATCAGATGAGTGGGAATTAAATTATAGTGGTTGTCATACTACTGGAGATGCTTGGTCATATCGATATGTTTCTAATAACTTTGACAAAGATGGTAAGCGCAGAACAAGTTATGTTCCTAGACGTCATTCCGCTAAATGGCAAACTAAGAAAAATATGAGTAGATTTCGTATTAATATAACTCAAATAATGCGCTATAAGGTTAACTCAGTATTACAATTAATTTCGCAAAAACCAGAATTTATAACATGCCCTGTTATTGCCCATAATCTTGAAATTTCTTTTAATAATTTTAAGAACTTTAATGCAAATTTTGCAAAATTGGCAAGGTCCAACAAAGGTATTTATGATATTGATAATAATATTAATATCAGAATTCCAGATATTCAGAATTTGGATAAGAAAATCATAATCAAACGTTTATTTGTACCAATAGCATCAAAGGCTAATTAAGTTTATCTATTTAATCTTTAAATGAATTATAGACGTACCTATTATTCTTTAGCAATACATTTTGCTTAATTATTATACTAGCTTGAGGTTGTATTTTGTTATGACAACGAATTTAAAATTCGATAATATTCTGAAATCATATTTTTATTTAAATTATTTTTATTTAACACTGTTTATAAATTATGTTTAATCCTTTTTTTATATAATAAAATCAGTCGGAAATTGAGCGATTTATTTATCACAAAAAAACTTAATTATTAATTGTGTTGTGTTTAAAGTGAATATTACATCAACATTTCTACAGCCACAGATAGGAAGTATTATGTTTCATTCAGAGTGTCTCAGGAATGTTTATAAATGTCATTTCCATAGATAATATTATCAAATTATCTTTAAAAGTCAAATGTTGATAAGTATTTATATTAGCTGTATAATAAACATATTTTTTGAACAAAATTCTTTTAACTACAAAGGAAAGAATGACAAAATAATCCAGTGTCGATCATTAAAATAATAGAAGTGTTAATGATGGTTATGACAATGGTTATAGAGGTGGCGATGGTAATGAAAGTGATCATAATGGTAGTGGTAATGATGAAATTGTATTATATCCAATTTGCTATTTTTTTCAAAAGCGCGGTCATGGATATTTACTTAATTCTGTTGAAGTTTGTGTATCCCCAATTCAATATATACTTATTACAATAAATAATTTATTTATGAAATTAGGCAATTCATATCCACAAGCAGTTTAAGTCGAACTGTTGAAATTTCAAATGGTTGCGAACAAAACATTGAAAGAACATTTCAGCAAAAAGTGGTATAAAAAGTTTTACAAATACTAAATACACATCTAATGTAAACATTGAATTATTGTAGTGATCATACTACTGGGGATATTTGGTCATATCAGTACGTTATTAACCTTAAAAACAAAAGTAATTGCAGAACTAGTTATTTATCCTGGTTACCATTCCGCTAAAGTGAGAAACCAAGGAAACTATGAAGTGATTTTGTATTACTATTACTCAAGCAGTACGCTATAGGATTTCCCTATGGGATAAAGTAATCCCACAAAAACCAGAATTTATAACATGCCCTGTTATTGGTTATTATTTTAAAATAATTTTTAAGGACTTTAATATAAACTTTGCAAAGATAGCAAGGTTCAATAGAGGTAAATATGATATTAAAAATAGTGGTATTTCAGATATTCAGAATTTGGATGGGAAAATCAAAATCAAAATTTCATTTTCACCTAGGGTATCCATTGAATTTTTTAAATAGCCCTATCTATCATTTTTTTATCAATAATATTTTTTAATAACGAATTTAAATTGGATATCTATTAATCAAATAATGAAATCATTTTTTTTTAAATTATTTCATCATTGTATTGTTCAACACTAATTATAATATTTCTAATACCTTTAATACATTAATAAAATCAGTTTGTAATTTAGCGATTTATTTATCATAAAAAACATTATTTATAAACTGCGTTGTGTTAAATACTGTATATTTTATATTTTGTTTCATTAATTTCATTTCTAAACTTTTATGACCAGAGATAGGAATAATTTATGTTTCTCAATAATTTTATTAAAGTCTTTATAGTAGTTGGATGAAGCCATATTTATTAAAGAAATACAATTATTTAGATTTTGAAAGAATTAGGAAAGTTTTTGAAACAAATAAAGATGAGACTTTTTTGGGTTTAAATTTTTTTACGAAATTCTTTTATTATTTAGAAAGAATGTTAAAAGTAATAATACAGCATGATACTAAAAAGAATATTGAAGGAGCTTAATAATCAAGGAGTTTCATACTGTAATATTAAATAATTATTATGAATTAATTGCTTTTTTCACTTCATTTTAACTTTACTTTCACATCTTCATCATTACTAAGATTGAATTTTGTCATTGATTTAACGCAACCCAAATAAAGCAAAGCAAAGCTATTTCATATTTAAAACTTATTACAATTTTTAATCATAAATTTACAATGTAAACAATTTATTTTAATATCTGAAGAAAATATTCTATATTTTTAGCAAATCAAATATTTGCTTTATATGGTTGTTTCCAATCTCATTACCGCTTTCTCTTTAATTACATTTGAGACGAGATTGTCCTGAATGTATTCTTTTTAATATCACAATCATTATTATAAATTTATGATAGTAAAATATGGTATAAGCTCATGCGTAATTTAATACTGTTACATCGCTAATTATTTAAAACAAATATAAATCATGATTTTAATATGTCGCAAAGTGATTTTGGATAATTTATATATTCTATTGTTGATTTGTTAAGGCTTGATTTTAAAATTACTCAAGTATGATATTATTTATTTAGATTCTTACAATAATTTAAAACCAATTTACATTTTAATTAAGGTAGTAATCACATAAGAAACTATCTTCAAAATATTTATGTTTAAAATTTTAATTTCATTATATTGTAAAAAGTATAAATGCATAAATACCGTAATCTCTGCATAAGCATTTTCGACCATGTCCAACTGATAAACTCCCATAATTAATTGGCTTGCTGGTAGAATTTTTACTATATCTCATAACTTTATGTTATTAGCCTAATACTTTCTCATATAAAGTAATAACATTCCTTACAATTAATAACTGAAAAAATACAAAACTTTTCAAAAAATTTCATTAATGAAAACTTTTCTTTTAGCACAAATGGGTTTATCGCTTGGAAAATCAGGTTTTGGAAACTTTTTAATAAAGTAAATGCCGTTTTATGGTGAATTTCAATCTAATTATTTATTCAGAATACGAATATATTTTTCATTTAAAAGGGTTAATAGTATCTATTTATTTATCTTTTAATATTATTAAATTTATATAATATTAATAACTTTAGTTATTGTATGAAATGAAGCTCGAAGTTCAGAAAATTCAAAATTCTGAAGTCAAAATCATCACGAATTTTCGTTATCCAAAAAAATATCACGATACTGAATATCGCTTAATATGTCAACATTGATGAATCAATCAAATTTATTTAACTCAATCTTTGCGTCAGCTAATATAAAAGTTGATGAAATTTTTAAGAAATGAATACTCCGATCCATATAATTGAAGCGATAAATCTGATTAATAAGAGAATGTAATGATAATTTTCAAAAAAAAAAAAAATGGAATAAACATAAATTTGTTATATAAAATGATCTAACATGTTGAACTAAAAGCTTTAATCACACCATCGTTCTTATATTTGTTTATAATTTCGATATACTCTTCTGCCTCATAAAGACGGTCTGATGTAAATATAGAAAATGAAGTTTGACCTCTCCAATTTTCAAACAAATCTCTCAAGGATTCTAACGACATCTTAAATCCATTATTATTAAATACGAGTTTTCTTAGATTACATGGTGCAGAACTAATTAATACTTTTGATAATTTCTCACCAGTTGCAAAATTTATCTCTGCGAGAAAATTAATATCAATTCCTATAGGATGATATATTTTAAATATCAAGATCTTTAATTTTTGACAAGTTTTTAATAAATTTTCGAATTCAATGAAATTCTCCTCAGTTGATAAGAATGTAATGGAAAAACAATCAAGCAAAGGACGGGTCGCATTCATTTCACCGACAAACATTTTACTGACGATCATTTTACCAATGATCATTTTACCGACAATCATTTTTACCATTCCAAAAAAAATTTTGTATTTATTGTATTAATTGCCCGCAGTAAAACAAAAGGACAAGAACAAAAAAATTTTTTCGAAGAATTTTGATCAATATTAGTTAGTATGTGGCAATATAAATTTCTATTTATATCTCAAACAATTACATCTTGTATTTTTTATTAATGATTAATTTATAATTTAAAATTTTATAAAAAAAAAATCAACTGTCGACGAAATGATCATGTCGGTAAAATGTTTGTCGGTGAAATAAACATATCGGTGAAATGATTGTATCAGGGAAATGATCATCAGTGAAACATTTGTCGGTAAAATGATCCTGTCGGTAAAATATGTGTCGGTAAAATGATTGTCAATAAAATGTTTGTTGGTGAAATGAACCGGATCCCAAAGGACATTTCTCATAAATTGTATGAAAGAAGATCTGATCCTCTTCACCTTTGTAACTACATCTACTGATTATAATTTTTCTGAGGTTCCCTCCAATATTATTAATTAAAATAAATAAGTGTGCTAATTTTAATGAAGTCAATTTGAAGGACTTCGAGATTTTGATATCTTGATTGCTTCAATTGCTCAAAATCGACTTAAGAGTCATTAATTATTAGTGTTTTTAAGTTTTTGAATTTTGACAAATTCATTGGTAAATGCCCATAATATTGAAATCTCATTATAAAATGGACCAGGGTATCAGCCTTTCTCTCTAATGCCAGAAAAATCTCTTTATAAAATCATTATCAAAAGCATAAGTATCAATCCATTCAAAATATCGTAAATTCCTCTGAACATCAATTAAGTTGAAAATTCCTTTGTTAGGCTTTACAATAGAGTTTTTAATGATAAGTCTTTGTATGCTTTGACAAATATATGCTAACCCATGAAAAAATGTTGGGTTCATGGATGAGTCACATTTAATTCACAAAGTGATTCGAGTCGAAACTTCGCTTCTGCAAGATAAAATATTTGGTGCGCAAGTGATATCATGTTCAAATACTTGAATTCGGGACATTTTTTCATTAAGAGGTTGTAAATTTCTTGTTGCAAAAGAAATTTTTTATTAGTTGTACATACATGGAAACTCCTGCAAAAGAACAAATAATCAAATAAAAGTGATTGATTTGAAGTTGGAGGTAATTGGATTCCTTGTCTTGTTAGAAATTCCTTAATATCATTGGGAAAGGAGGAAATAATAACGTAGTATAAAGAAGTTTTGTTTTTAAATTTCATTTTTTCAAAGCGCCAATGATCCCTCCATAGAATCAGAACCGCAGTCTTACACCAAAGTCTATTAACTAAAAGACATGAAAATAGA